CTAACAACAAAAACTGAAAGTCTGAGGATACCAAAATAACTGTCTGCACAATGTTGATTATGGTAAGGCAAGGGAAGCTACATCTGGTTTTGGAATTACTGGGCTATACAAAGGCACAAACCAGTCTACATACTCCTCTGCACTCAGGACCCTACTCACTCTACGTTCAACATGGAAGAAGCCAATGCTGAATTCCACCATGCCCTGACGCGTGGCTTTTGAAGTGAAGCTGACAGCCACTGCGCACCTGCATTTGTGCATCCATGATGAGCTGTTTAGCCTCCCAACAAGCCAAGGATTGCATCCCAGCCTAGAGACAGCAAAAGCAGCCACCATGGAAAGATCAGCAGGTCACAGTGGGCCCCTCCGCGAGTGAAAACTTATCACTTCACATGAAAAAGTGGTGGCAGGAGTTACATAAAGAATTCATTTATAAGGTGACATGGTAACCATTTCTTATGTCACCACAATAAAATATGCAGACATTTGCTTAACAAGGCACTCTCAGTGATGTACAACTTGTCCGATATTATTCCACTTCTGTATTGTCTGATTGTAAAAGGGACCCATATGGACATTAAATTTCATTATAAATTACATTTTAAGCAAGAGGCTTTTTAAAGTATTCATCAATTCAGAATCTCTTTTCTCCTCCTCTTCCCCTTTTTCTCCCCCCCCACCCCCCACCCCCCCAAGCAGTACTAGGATTTGAGCTTAGGGCCTTGTACTTGCTAGGCAGATGCTCTACCATTTCAGTCATACCCCCAATCCCTCTTTGCTTTAGTTATTTTTCAGGTATGGTCTCACACTTTTGCCTAGGGTCAGCCTCAGATTGTGATCCTCCTAACCTCTGCCTTCTGTGTAGCTGGGATTACAAGTGTGAACCACCATGCCTGCCTCAGAATTTACTTTTTATCTTTACTCAACCTGACGTTCTTTCTCTTCCTGAAGTCTGGCTTCCTTCATTGCATCTTCATTATTCTGAAAACTGCTACTTTCCCAACATTTGGTTTGGGGGAAGTCTGAAAAACCTCAATAGACCACTGGAGCCATCTCATATCTGTTGTCTCCTCTTTTCCTTCCATAAGTTGTTTTAGCTGTTCATGCCTGCTTTGCTAGTTTTGAATTTCAGCTCCTCAGACAGGTCCACAATTCCACTGTCACTGGTTCTGTTCTCTCTGATTGCGTTCACTCACTCAGTTCTATCAAAATTGCTGACATTTTGTCATCATCATTTTCCACTCACTTTCTTTGGCATCATCTTTCAAGCCAGAACTGGTGATTACATGAGCTATCCTCTTTTCCCATTCTTTTCACCATGCAACTTAGCCTTTAAAAATTTTGTGTTCTCTATGCTTACATTGAGTCTTTTCTTGACCTTGACACTTTCATTGCTGCCCCTAACATGAAGATAATCTGAGATTGCTTTTTAACACCTTTATTGAGGGTGTGGGGATGTGGCTCAAACATCTGCCACTCCACTGGTCCCAAGGCAGATTCAGCTGGGTTGGAAGTGCATTCTCCTGGGATAGCTACCTGGCCAGGTCTTGTTCTTGAAGCTGCTTGTTGGTGCACAGAGAGCAACTCTCCAGACAGGAAAACTAGCTGTGAAGAAAACATGGTGGCTCTATCTTTCTTCCCCCTTCTTCTAAAACATATTGCTGCCCACTCTGTCCTAATCTTCCTTGCTTTTCCCTCTAAGGTGCTTTTAAATTAAGTCCTTGACTTGAGGCACATACCACGTCACTGGGTTTCTGGGTTCCTCTAGTAACTGGTCTGATTTAATTCTCAGCCTGGGATTGGTTTCTTCCCACTTTTTTTTTTTTTTTTAAAGATTTGGTATATTATTTATTTATTTTTCTTTATTCCTTTTTTCATATGTGCATACATTGTTTGGGCCATTTCTTCCCCCTGCCACCCACTCCCTCCCTCTCCCCTCCACCCCCCTTGCTTCCAGGCAGAATCTGTTCTGCCCTCTTCTCCAATTTTGTTGAAGAGAAGACATGAGCAATAATAAGAAAGACATAGCATTTTTGCTAGTTGAGATGAGGATAGCTATACAGAGAGATTCCCAGCACTGCTTCCATGTACAAGTGTGTTACAACCCGAATTGATTCATCTCTACCAGACCTCTTCACTACTTCCCGGTCACTTTACCATAGTGACCTCTGTTGTTTTAAGGTTATTGTACTAGCCCCTTTTTGCAGTGGGGACATCAAACACTTTCAGTTTTGGGTTTCATACCTTTCCCTATTCCTTCTGTATGTGTCCTCCCCTTAGCATGTGACCCAAGTCTAATATTACTGCATTTGTTTTAGACCGCATATGAAGGAGAACATATGATTTTTTGTTTTTCTGAGCCTGGTTAACTTTGCTTAAGTTGATGTTCTCCAGTTCCATCCATTTACTTGTGAATGATAAGATTTCATTCTTCTTTGTGTATAAATACCATAGTTTCTTAATCCATTCATCAGTAGTGGGGCATCTTGGCTGTTTCCATAACTTGATTATTGTGAATAGGGCTGCAATAAACATGGGTGTGCAGGTGCCTCTGGAGTAATGTGAGTTGCATTCCTTTGGGTATATCCCTAGGAGTGGGATTGCTGGATCATACAGCAGATCTATGTTTAGTTTTTTAAGAAGCCTCCATTTTGTTTTCCAGAGTGGTTGTACTAGCTTGCATTCCCACCAGCAGTTTTTTAGGGTTCCTTTTTTCCCACATCCTCGCTAACATTTGTTGTTGGTGGTGTTTTTGATGATAGCTATTCTAACAGGGGTGAGGTGGAATCTTAAGTGTGGTTTTGATTTGCATTTCCTTTATGACCAGGGATGGTGAGCATTTTTCATGTGTTTTCTGGCCATTTGAATTTCTTCTTCTGAAAAACTTCTGTTTAGTTCAGTTTTCCATTTTTTTAATTGGTTCATTGATTTTGGGGGAGTTTAGTTTTTTGAACTCCCTGTATACTCTGGCTATCAGTCCTCTGTCTGATGTACAGCTGGTAAATATTTTCTCCCACTCTATGGTTGGTCTCTTCAGTTTACAGACCATTACTTTTGTTGTACAGAACCTTTTTAATTTTATGTAGTCATTTGTCCATCCTTTCTCTTAGTTGCTAAGCTGTTGGGATAAGGAAGTCCTTGCCTAAACCTATTGCTTCCAGAGTATTCCCTGCTCTTTCCTGTACTAACTTCACAGTTTCAGGTCTGATATTAAGGTCCTTGATCCATTTTGAGTTGATACTAGTACAGGGTGATAAACATGGATCTAGTTTCAGCTTTCTGCAGCAACATTTGTTGAAGAGGCTGTCTTTTCTCCATTGTATGTTTTTGGCACCTTTGTCAAAAATAAGGTGGGTATAGCTATATGGATTCATATCCGGATCCTCTATTCTGTTCCACTGGTCTTCCTATCTGTTTTTGTGCCAGTACCATGCTGTTTTTATTTCTATGGCTTTGTAAAATAGTTTGAAGTCGGGTATTGTGATACCTCCAGCATTGCTCTTTTTGCTGAGTACTGCCTTGGCTATTCAAGGTCTCTTGTGTTTCCAAATGAACTTTAGGGTAGATTTTTCAATCTCTGTGATGAATACTGACTTTTGTTTTCTAGTGATTCTTTGCTTCTAGCTTGTCACTGGATTTCTCTTACTCTCTAAAAGGATACTTTTCCCACATCCCAAATCTCTGTTTTCCACTTCCTTCAGCATGGCCTTCATCTTGTCTTTCATTTCCTCCATGTCTCAAATGCTTTTTTGTCTTGGTAGCTCTAACTCATCTGCCCTTTCTCGTGCTGGTCAATGTATGTGTGTTCTGACACAATAAATCGACCTTAAAAATCTCAATGTCCCAACTCGGTCATCAAACAATAAACAGCAGCCTCTCTTGGTGGTAGTTTTTAATCTTATGCCTTCCCTGAAGCCTTGAAAAATTAATTATACTGAAGTTTATATCCATAAGACAGTGATATGCAGGGTGGAAGGGCACAAGAAATGTCCAAAGAACACCTTTAAAAATTAATCTTCTCATAATCTGACCTCATGTCTATCAATGTTTATTCAATCAACAGACGAGGGAGCAAGAGGGACAGATGGTCAATGGGTGAAAATGGCTAAAAGACTGTAGTGTCTCCACAGGCTATACTTCACTCTAAAAATGAGAAGCTGTGGGACAAAATCATATCTTTCATATATAGGTATGTATGTGTGTATATATATATGTTCACATATATGTACATATATATGCACATATATGTACATATATATCCACATATATATACTTCATATATATGTGCATATATATATGTATATATATATATACACACACATATATACATACTTAAAGCTTTTTTTGGTGGTACTGGAATTTGAACTCACTGCCTCACACTTGCTCTACCACTGAAGTCACTCTGCCAGTCCTTATTTAAAGGTTTTCACTTTTAAATCAATCTACATTAGGAAAGGTACTTCTGAATTAGGTGATGTTGATGAAATTAAATTTATCACATAATACTTACAAATACAAACAGAAACATTTCCTCCAAGAGAATTTAAAATTTAGCCTCCCACTTATTACAAGTCCAGAGGGACCCAGTCAGAGGCTGCTGCTTTATGGTACCTGTAGATGGCACGTTGAGCTACAGTTCAGGGAGGCCAGAGCTAGCTGCCAGGTTTGCCCTGGCCGGACATGAGTACACCCCTGCCTTAACTCTCGTCTTTCTCCCTCTCTACTTCAGGACTCCTGTTGGTGGCCATGTTTCACCGTTCCCCAGGCTCTGACCTGCTGGCCCAATGGTTTTGGTGGCATGCACTATGAATGTGTGGACTGTGCCCCACAGACCCTGGCCTGCATGATCAGTAATTCTGAGAGTTTGATCCTCCTTAACCCCAAATCTAGGAAGGCAAGTGCAGAATAAACCAAGAGACCAGAAGTGGAAAATATAGTAAGCCACTGACAAAAGCAACGACTTTAGATAAGAAAACAAGATGGAGTATAAGAAGTGGCACCTGGTGGGCCAGAATGTAGATGTTATGTCCAACGTCCTTCGGAGAGACACCATCATCTCCACCCTCCTCCTCTCCATGGTCACATTCTAAGCCTTGGTTGTAGGCATTCTTCATCACGTCCACCTAGCAAACAAAGAACAGCACACATTTCAGATCATTTGTGAGCTGTAATTTAAAACTGGGAAGCTTTATGGCACTCAAAAGCATAAAAGGGCCCTCAATGAAAATATCCTTGGAAATCATCTTGATTTAAATGAATATGGAAATGTGTTCCTACAGCACTTCCTGATTTACTTGGAAAATTTTGCTTTGATACTTGAATGTTAATAGTGATAACATTCCCATGCATGAAGAGAATATGGAACCCTGAGAAGCATCCATTACTTACTGAGCACCCACAAGGTGACAGACATGGTACTGGACATTGGTAGTGGGCACTGAGTATCCTACAGTGGACACGACAGGGTATCTATGTTCAAGGAACTTACTGTCTAGTGGGAGAGTCAGCAAGTAATGAGGCAAGCAGAGTGTAGTGTCATCAGTCCTTCTGTGGGGTTGTGAGGCCTGTGGGGCCATCTAACTCAGGAAGTGATTGGGGTGGGCCTCAAGGAGGAAACAGGTGAGAGGGAAATGGTGTTGTCAGTAGAGGAAGTAGTATTTTCAAAGGGCCACTACTCAGTGCTGATGTTGAATGAATACATAATCCACTGCCCCACTTAACCATAGGACATGGAATGTGTTGTACTTCTTAACCCATTGCTCGTGGGTTTAAGACTTTCATCAAATATATGTTAAATCAACTGCATCATGTCTCTTTTCTTATCTGCCTTCCTTGATCCCTTTCTTTACTAATGAAGAAAAAAGAGTGTGGTATCAGGGCATCAGCAATGGTGCTAATGTAGTAGACTTAGTCCTTATGGCACTGAGGTATGTTTTCAAGACTTTTGAACTCCATGCCTTTAAAACATGCCTACATTGTTTTATACCTTTTCATGAGTGACAGGGAAAATGTAACTTCTACAATAGGAAGACACACGAATGGTCTTTGTGTAAGCACACCCATGTCTCTGAATTATTTCCTCTAGGCCAAGCACTGTGCAACACCTCACTGATGAGAAGACTTACAACATATGTACTGTTTTTTATTATCTCCCTGATAACTATAAATAAGATCGGGGGTTATAAAATTCTAAAAATACCCTCTACATATATACTGATTACTAGGTGTCCACAGGGATTGGGTCTAGGTGTAAATGGGGATTGGTTCCATACTTTTGAGGATACCAAAATCTGTGGATGCTCAAGTCCCTCACATGAAATGGTTCACTATTTGCATATAACCTATGCATATCTTCCACAGACTTTAAATCATCCCTAGATTACTAATAATAATTAATACAATGCAAATGTTATAGAAACAGTTGTTACACTGCATTGTTCAGGACATAATGGCAAGAAAAAAGTCTGTAGGTGTTTAGGTGTAAATTTTAAAAATATTTTTGAGCCACAATTTGTTGAAGCTACAATGTGGAACCTAGGTATATGGTGATCATCCATACTGCGGACACTGTTGAAACTAAAGCCAACTTTTTATTCACAAAAAACATTTGCATATAGTTCAGTAGAGTGAACAATTTGGTCAAGACAAGCGCTCAGAGTGAATAAAACTAGTGAAGTCATAGGCTCCAAATCACATAGCCTGTACCTTCTGAGCATTTGTGATGGTGGTCATGGTGTTCATTAGGCCTGTAGAGCAGTGAAAGTTGCTATCCTGGTTTTCTGACGTGCACACTGTGAGCTTATTCCTTTTAGGCTCTAAATCATTAACACAGCTTTGAAAAGTTTTCTTACCAGTTCCCTGGGTCTCATGTTGAAAAGAATCCTCTCTGCATTCTCGCTGTCATGTCTGCTTTCCATGATGGCTAGCAACAGCTTGGAGGCATTGTTCTAAAAACAAAACCGAGTCAAGGCACATGCAAAGTCGATTTCACGCATTCATGATCCCTTGTGCTTGTTTTAACAGAGACTGGAAGCACGGCTTTTTCAATCTAACAGAATCTAAAACCGCTAATTTCTTTTGTCTTATTAACATTTCCAAATAGAACATTTTAATTCATTGTCATTACAAAATAAAACTAATAAATCATGAGAGATAAATTATGAGGGATATTTGAAATATTTGTGAAAAATGTGTTTTAAAAGGAAAATTGACTTACTACATACTGCCTTAAAATGTCACTGCATTTTCCTTCACTATTTCCAAAATACGCATTTCTATAGTGACATATGAAGATGAGGTGAACAGGAATCAACCATGTATTTTAAGAAAGGGCACGTAACTTAAAGAATTTAGCACAATCTTTTTTAAAAATGAAATCACATTAGTAAATCAAATTTTATATAAACTGGAGCAATAACTAGTGGGAATTAATACATAAATTCTAGATTCATGAGTTACATACACACGACATGTTTATTATCTGGATTATTCTATGCTTTTGCTTCAAAGAGAATGAAAACAGCTTATGTTGTCTTATGTGCTCTAATTTTGTTTGTAAACATATTATCTCATTTTTTTCTTATAGATATCAAAAATGCTTCTGAGTGAATTTACAACCCAAATGGGTACCACAAAGCTACAGAAAAATCTTACCACAGAAGACACAATAGTCTCAACATTCTGAAGCATGCTCTGTACATCATTCTCTCAATAGACTGTCACAGAAATTTCACAAATTGCAAGATGGAAAATATACAAGGAATATTTTTACAGTATATGTTTACTCACTTAGATTAAAATTTTAACATCCACATACAATCTTTATTAGAAGTGTAAAGGAAATAAAGCCAAATGGTTTTAAGCCTCATCTAAGTGAGTCAGTACCTTTACAGAATAAAAATAAATGGAATCAGTGTTCAGTCTAGACTGACAATCACCGCACAAACTTGGTATGCTTGTACAAATTAATTCTACTGAGCAGTTTCAGTACTGAATTCTACCCACTTCTGTCAGAAGCACAGTCTAAAAATGGATGGATGTCAATAAAATGGTGATAAAGATAGTGAGGATGGGATGCCACCCTGCCATATATCGACCATCACAAAGACATTTTAGTCTTTAGTCTTTGAGGGCGACCTGCCCCATTTTCTTTTTGCAGATTTGCATTAATCCTAGAATCCACTTTTATAATCTAGACCCTGCACAATAACAGTTCTAAAAAAGTAAGGTTTAAGGATTAGAGAAAAGCTGACACCTGGCAACACTAGCTGGGTTCTCCAATGAACTGTCACAGCAGACACAATACAGAATGACTTAAAAGTACATTCATTTTCACAATGCTGTCAGCAATATGGTATTTTTAACCAATTTTCTTTTTCACACTATGTCAGAAGAATAGAAAGAAATCTTGGGAACAACCTACTGAACCTACTGAAATCTGAATCAATTTGAAAGTCCTGTTCTTGCCTAGCTAGACATACTGTAAAACCAAATGGGATCATCAGAGTTAACAGGGATTTCCTTCCAAAGTAGCCAGATTCAGATTGCTTATTTATAAACTCAGCTCTACATATTCACAAACTAGTAATAAAAATAAAAAGTAAAAGACAAGACATAAATTTTAAAAATCCAGTCTTGGGGGAAGGGGGGAGAAATGACCCAAACATTGTATGTACATATGAATAAAAGATATAAAAAAAGTTTTTAAAAATTCAGTCTTACTCTAGATGAATATATATGTATGCTTAAAATTATGGATAGTCAAGCAATCAAATTAAAGACTGAATGATGGAAAAAGAAACCTTATCAAGATGATCTAACATGGCATCTCTGCACTATTATAGAGAAGTTATTATCTAAAGCACCCCACCCATGGAGGCCACCAGAATTTGCAACAGATAACATTTAGTCTTACAAAAACTTTTCTCAGATTAGCCAGTATATCAACTCTGCATAGACTCTTTAGAAAAGTATGCTCACCTCATTATATAAATAAAAAACTATACTTAAAATATTTGAATTTACATCTATATATTTGGTATTTTAGATATACCTTGATTTACCCAAGTGCCATATTTTAGAAAGGTATATATACGTTTAGTTATTAAAATAAAAACTTAAATGATCATTTTTAAAGGAATTTTTATTTGAATACCTAATATCTTTGTGCTGTTAAGTTATTCCTATTTATTTATATAGGGTCTGTATTTATAAATAATCTGTGTCCCTATACTTTATTTTAAATTGATAAGTCATTCCTCATTAAGACATGTTACTTAACAATGAGATTCAAGCATGTACCTTTAGACTAATACAGAATTTTCAAAGTCAAAGACCAAGGCCTGTACATGTTGCTTCTTTATGAGCTATAGTTGAAGGTGAATTCACTATTTTTTCTAGTAACTATTATTAAGTCAAGTCTCATAGGCCTACACTGGTGTCACGATTGAAGTATGATGGTAGTGAGGCCAAGGGCACAAGTCCCACATGGGTGAGCGCCACTTCCATTCCAGTTGTGAATGAAAGAGTGAAAAAAAAAATACAAACTTGTCTCTTGAATTAAAATAGTTTGCTTCCAAAGAGCCATTAGCACAATCTTATTATGAGTAGGCCATATATATATATATATATATATATATATATATATATATATATATACACACATCCCACTGACTACCTAAACCTACACTTAGAAATAGAAAATAAAAATATCATTTCTACACTTCTTGGCATAACTTTACCCACACAAAGTTCATCTTAAATATACTTTTTCTATGACATTGGGTAGACCTGGCTTTATAGAGAAATTGCACTTCACCAAATGACTGGGTTTTTTATCCTGTATACCATTACTAAACATGTTAATGTGGTCATTAATAATTTATCTTAATTGAATACATTGACTTAGCATTTGGGAATATATATAGTTTCTTATGGTTATTCATTTGTTTGTCTTCTTTTAAACAAAAAGTTCAAGAAGAAAAATTTTAAATGGCATTGGGACCCTGAGTTCTGGCAAGTGGAACTGCTAGAAGGGTGTATAGGCTTAAATTAAAGGACCTTCTTAAAGGACTGTGAGTATGACAGTGTATTTGGGGGAAAAGATTGTAACATAAGAGAGTCAGAAATAAGAACATAAAACTGCAGCACTCCATTGACATCTGAGTAATTGTGACTTGCTGGATGGCTACTCGACCCAAGGTTGATCAAAAACACCTGGCATGGAGAATGTTCAGCACCACTCTTTCTCTATAACCAAAACTGAAGTAAAACCAGAAGGGAAATAAACAAAGAACTCTAATAAAAGACCGTGCAATTGGATACCATCTCAAGGTCATTTCACTTTTTATCAGGAATTTGGTGAACCTTACAATTTTACTATCCCTTTCTGCCAATTCACTAGTTGAAAATCTGATAACATCTTGCTTTATACAACAGGTACTGGCAGACTTTCATCAACTCTGAAAGGCAGTTCCATATAGAGAATGTAACTTCCCTGCTCAAATAGTGGATCACTGTACCTTTAGCTGGAGAACGAGGTCCATTCGGTATTTACCAAGAGGGTTTATGTCATTTAGAATCAAAGCAATGATGATATCAATCCCATTAGATTCATGAGTAGCAATACAGCTCTACAAGATAAAATATTTGTAAAATAACATTCTATTTACAACCTACCACTAGAAATAACAGGACACAAAAATTAACAGAATAACCCAAGACTTTGTTCTTTAAAATATAATTTAGATCTAACTTTGAGCATTTGACTCCTCATTTTGTGAGGAGTCTGACTATTAATTGATTGGATTGGTTAGAAGAACATTAAGTGGGCACTGTGTGAAGCACCTGCATTTTTTTTTTATTATTCATATGTGCATACAAGGCTTGGGTCATTTCTCCCCCCTGCCCTCACCCCCTCCTTTACCACCCACTCTGCCCCCTCCCTCTCTCCCCCACCCCCTCATTACCCAGCAGAAACTATTTTGCCCTTATTTCTAATTTTGTTGTAGAGAGAGTATAAGCAATAACAGGAAGGAACAAGGGTTTTTGCTGGTTAAGATAAGGATAGCTACACAGGGAGTTGATTCACATTAATTTCCTGTGCGTGTGTTACCTTCTAGGTTAATTCTTTTTGATCTAACCTTTTCTCTAGTTCCTGGTCCCCTTTTCCTATTGGCCTCTGTTGCTTTTAAGGTATCTGCTTTAGTTTCTCTGCGTTAAGGGCAACAAATGCTAGCTAATTTTTTAAGTGTCTTACTTATCCTCACCCCTCCCTTGTGTGCTCTAGCTTTTATCATGTGCTCAAAGTCCAATCCCATTGTTGAAGCACCTGCATTTTACAATGAACTACTTTTATAGACTTTCAAAGATGACTTGTTAAATACTTCTACAGTCAATAAATTCCAATAGCTCTGTTGATGGCAACAGAGGAGCTCCTTAAACTTAGAGTTTTAAAAGCAAATTTCATAGAACTCATAGGGCACTTTAATTTAGTGCCTTCTTAATACTAGATTGCTAATGAGAGATGCTGCAAAGACAGGTGATGTGGGAGTGTCCTGATATTTGGGGATACAACAACTGCCAATAATGGAGGCTAAGGTAAGTTCAGCAGAATTCTTGAGACTGGGTGACTTATGGAGGAATCCTGACTGGGGAAAGTACACAAAACATCCTGAGGGATATATGGGGCTGGGGTTTGAACTCAGGGCCTCCCACTTGCAAAGCAGGCTTTCTACTGCTGAGCCACACCTCCTGTCCAACCTGCTCTGGTTGTCTTGGAGATGGGGTCTTGTAAACTATTTTTCCAGGCTGGCCTCAACCATGATCCTGTCGATCTCCCAAGCAGCCAGGATGAAGGTGTGAGCCCCTGGAGCCCGGCTAACTATGAATATTTTGAAGATGAAGACCAACTGTGCACAGCCCTGAACTTAATTTTATAGAACTTAAAAGTAGGGGTCTGAGGGCTAGATTTGTGGGACTATGCTACAGATAGCATCTTGTCAATGAGGTCTGAAAACATGAAACTCAGGTGAGTTACATGAGAAAGATTAAAATCAAGCCAACTCTGAAATGATTAATTTTTGAGCATAGGTCTTGCAGATTGTCTTAGAATATGCTGGTGACTGTCTTTCCTTCTGCACATTTTCAGAGCATGGGGAAATTATATGTGGGATTCATGTTTTTTATTATCAGTTTTGATCTTTTGAGCTTATTTGGTTTTAGTAAATTACCTTCAAAACTTTATTTCCTTCTCTTCTAAGACCAACAATAAGGAACATTCTACAGGTTTTTCATACATAGTAAAAGAGATATATGACACACATAGTGTCTAGTACAGATATGGTTTATCAACAATAAAACCAACTCTCTGCATTTGTAGATTTTCCTTAACTTGAAGCTAACTGCTTTTCTTGCATCATGGCAAACTGAAATATAATCCAGAAAAATACAGGACAAAATCCACAAACTCTTAGTGTGTTGTACATACATTACAGAGAAAGAAAAAAATCCCCACAACAAATTGTTTATGTCAGTAATTGTCATGGTTTTATGTTATGTACTTCTATATGTATGCATACATGTGTGGGGATATGCGCTCAGACATATATGTGAGTACACTGTGTGTGTTTTTGCATATCATATAATTTGTGATAGAAAAGCAAACTTCCTTTTCACATTTCCTTCCAACCACTGATATTTGGCTTTAACTGATTCTCCAAATTTTATGTCCAGGAACGGCTGTGATTTGAAAAGTGCAGGGTGGACCTTCTTATGATGGCTGCTGCATAGCCCTTGTGTGGATGCTCTACAGTTCATTTAAAGCATCAGGTGGTTCCTCCTCCCTTACTCTTCCCACAAGACATCCTTTTTTCCTTCAAAGGATTTTTATTAGTTGTATGGGGGAATTCACTGTGACAGTTCTTACTATGCTTACATCTCTCTCCCTCATCCTCTGCTCTCCCCCCACTTAAAACAACTGCAAATGGTTTCATTATTTTATTTCGTACATGGATACAAAGTACATCGACTATATTCATCCTCCTTATTCCCCTCACAAGGTATTCCTGATATCCCCCTGAAAAAACTGGAACCAGAGACAAACGTTCTAGAAAACACCGTTGCTCCTTGAGCTTCCCCCAAAATGTGCTCCATCTCAACTCCATCAAAAGGCCCAAGTTTTAAGAATGGCTCTGCAGCTGGCTGATTCTGGCTCTCTGGGTCCAGGAAGTCACTTAATCTCTGGTCAGAACCTATTCATCAGTAAAACAGAAGCAGTAACATCGACTTCTACTTTTCCTGGAGCGTAAGAGAGCTAACATATTCCACCCACTAGGGCAGCTGGAGGAGCCAGGGAAGCTTGTCCCATAAACATTGGAAAGGTTTTATACAGATGAAAACTTGAGATTGGTGAAAAAACAGAGTTTGCCCTTTTCTCAATAACTCTGATTTTTATCTTAAACGGTTTCATGGAAATTTTCTTTTATAATGAAATTACATAAAAATATACCATAACACCCACTAGTCTGTAACTCAGCCTTTGTATGTTCTGTTGGGAAACTAAAAATGTCTGGCAAAGAAAGAAGAAAGAGCTTTTAAATGCACACAGAGGTTGGCTCTTCCCTGACTTGGCACATGGCTCATGAGGCCTGCCTGCTTTGCATAAAGAAGTGTGTTCACAGTTACCTGATTTTCATGGCACGGGCCCTGGCAGTACTCAGTCAAGCTCTCCAGGGTCTGGATGACCAACGCCACATTCTTCTCATTGATGTACAGCCCCAGCAGGCCCAGGCCGCCTGTTGTACTCCCACAGATGCAGTCCAGAAACTGAAGGGTCTCACACACAAGGTTGTAATTTGTTTTGTTGTTTTGACTCCTTAAGAAGTTCTGAGGGCAAAAGAAAATATACCCAAGGAGTAAAAAAAATAAAAAAAAAAACTGTGTTAATTGTCTTAAGTTCTCTCTATGCTGTGTTTATAACTCAAAAAAGATCCCCATGGTAGAGTGTAACAGAATTGCTTTTTACAGGAAGTGCTGACATTTATTAAATTTCTCTTGAGTTTAACTTAAGGGGAAGCACTAAAGTTTTACGTTAAGAATCTGTATTTATCATTATAGTTCATAATAAATGATTCTCAATGTCATTATTTTAAGACTATAAAAAGAAGGCAAAAATAACAGTAAGTACAAAAAGGAGGAGTAAGAAGGAAAGTAAAAAGAAGTTCACTAGAGAGAGAAGTAATTGCAATCCCAAGTCAATGGTGCCTACGAATAGTGGTCTTCACCGTGGCTAATACTAAACAATACAACATGATGGAGGGAAATGTAGAGGCATTATCAAAAATTTCAGTAAACACACAGCTCCACATCTACAAAGTTATAAGCTTGTGTACGCAAACACACAAAGAAGTCCACTGCATGGTGCATGTTACAGGAAAACTGGAAACCTTATACCCAATGACAACAGCCCTGGTTTTATGGAACATTGTAAAAATAAAAAATTAAAGTACTTTAATACGTACTGATCAGCACAACCTCACAATAAGTAACTTAGTGATAAGGTATATTAAAGTAAGTTGAGGAGCACTATGTAACACATATTTTCCTTTTATCTTTTTTTTTGATACTGGGGTCTGAACTTAGGGCCTACCACTTAAGCCACTCCACCAGCCCTTTTTGTGTGATGGGTTTTCTTGAGAGAGGGTCTACCAAAACTATTTGCCTGGGCTGGCTTTGAACCGTGATCCTTCTGATTTCTACCTTCTGAGTAGTAGGTGTGGGCCATGGGTGCCCAGGTACACATAGTTTCTTTAAAAAAGGTTTATGGGGGGGGATCCAAGATGGCGACTACAGTAGGGAACCAGAAAGCCTAAGCTCCCTGACTCCTAAAACCACCCTGAGATGTTGGAGCTCCACTTGGGTAATTCTGACTCCTTCTAGTCAAAATAATAACTCCCATCACATTAGGTGCAGGAAAAAAATTCAAAGACTGACCCTCAAATCAGCTGTTATTTGTACCTAACAGCTATGACCCATGGCACAGCCAGCAAGGCAGGGCCAGCCCCCCAGTGAAACCCTCCTTCTCCACAGCGATTTCTCTCTCTCTCTCTCTCTCTTTTGTCTTCTTTCTCTTCTCCTTCCTTCATCAAGTGGAAATAGACCATCAACCAGAATCAAACTCTGTAACATCCTGAACCTATAGCCAGTGGAAAGCCTCCCCAGGCCACACTGCACTGAAAAAAGGTGGCACCCTTTCTCCCCACTGCAGTCACCTGCTCCAAATCTGCCTGTGCATCAATTGTTAGAATGAACGGGTGAGCACCACGCAGGACTGCCCTATCTACCCCCCAGTGAACATAAACCAGCACAGCCCCCCCAGGCAGACTGATCCCACCCCCACCCCAACAAAACTGGAGAACAAACAGCAAACTGTAATCAAACATGGAATGCAGGGTTGGGGCTGGAATGCTGAACCTGCACCAGAGAAAGGGGGCAGGGCAAGGAGCTAAACTCAGCATTAACCCTCAGTAAACAAACAACAAGCCACCTCCAAACCAAGTCAGGTAGTGGATCGCAGAGCTCCTTTCCTGAACCAGAGGGCAGCATTCAAAGAACTGCCCCACCTTACTGGGGAAGGAGCTGACCAAACAGCTGGAATTGAAGGATAACACAGCTGTCAGCTGGGGAAAACAACAGCTCTGACCACCATGCATGATCTGGCAGATCTACCTCACCTCATAATTTCAATTAAACTGGTGGATAGAAGAACAAAACACTACTCACAAGCCAATCACCTGGTGAGACCACATACGAGTTTCTGCTTATATGCCAACACCAGGACTAGATGCTAGAGGAATAACTTCAGAATTTAAACTAAGACTGAAATTCTATTGTTCCTGAACCTGGTGCTTTTTTATTCTGTTTTTATTTCCTGTTTTTTGTTTGTTTGTTTGTTATATTATTGTGGATTTTTTATTTTATTTTGTATTCCTATTTTCTTTTTTCTTTCTGTACTATTAACTTCACCATCATTATCTTCTCATCCCTACTCTCACACCCTTTACTTTCCCTCCTTCTCCTGTGCCAAAGTCCACTGTTCTCCTTCCCAACAACTCATTCTGCCCCTTCTCACCCACTCTCTCCCCCTGACTTCACCTCTCCCTCTCATCCTCCCCCAACCTGTCACCACACTACCCTCCCTCCTACACACTCACCACCAGCTGACCAACCTACTGTACCAACTTTACACAACCTAATCCCTGCATTCTGTGACACAAGCACCCTACACTACAACAATAAGAATATACTCAAACATGCACAAGGGCCAAAAACCCTAGCAGCCTCCACGTTGTTTCCCTCACTCACCTACCCCACTTCCTGCCTCCCCTTTTAGTAACACCCTAACCAATTTCCCAAATTTCTATAGCCAGCCTAACAAATATTAACCACCCCCAATTCCCACTGTTTATAGATAATACCACAAAGGGTCTTCTGTATAATATATAAACAACTGGTTGGGCATTCAACCTGTGAATTAGTTATTGCTAAATTACACTGCCAGGCCAGGGACAGAAATAGCACACCAACCTAGCTAACAACCAAGACAGCCACAACACAAAAATTAAATCAAGGAAGAGAAAGCAGGCAACTAAAACCACCAATGAGCCTATCCAGAACAGAGTTGCACAGCACCAAGTGGAGCAATGGGAAGAAGAAGGGATGGAAACCACTGTCCTCAAAAAAAAAAAAAATAATTCAATAGAGGACTCAGAGGGAAATGAAGAAAATGGATACTCAGTTCCCGACCCCAACAAAACAATGATAAATGACACTAAGGAACCCAGCAATGCCTACAAAAACACCAGAAGAAATCACTGAGAATTTCATGGAGAACATACTAGACGCAGTTAACCAAAATGTACAAGATGCACTCAAGAAATTTCAAGACACCAAAAATAAAGAACATGAGAAGACACAGAAACAAATAAATGAACTCAGAGGTGCCCTAAACATACACCAAAGTGAAAGAGAGAACACTATAAGTAGAGAGACAAAGTAATTAAAGATGAAAATAAAAATATTAAAGAGAAGGTGACCAAAGATATGGAAAAACCTCAGAAAAAAAGAATCGAACAGAAACACAAAACACAGTGGAAGACCATTCCAGCAGACTAGAACAAGTGGAAGACAGAACTTCAGAACTTGAAGGTAAAATAGAAATTAAAGAAAAAACTGAAGAAATCTTAGTCAAACAACTCAAGACCTGTGAAAGGAATTTGTAAGAACTCACTGACTCCACCAAAAGACCAAGCCTGAGAATCATGGGCATTGAAGAAGGAGAAGAGGTCCAAGCAAAAGGGATTCATAATATATTCAATAAAATGACAGAAAATATCCCAAATTTCAAGAAAGTTTTGCCCATTCAGGTACAGCAAGCCTCCAGGACACCAAACAGACTTGACCAAAATAGAACTCCCCACGCATATTATCATTAAAACAACAAGCACAGAGAATAGAAATAGAATACTGAAGGCTGTAAGAGAGAAAAAACAAATAACATATAAAGGGAAACTCATTAAAATCACAGATTTCTCAACAGAAACCTTACAAGCAAGAAGGGCATGAGTGAGGTATTTTCGGCACTGAATGAAAATAACTTCAACCCTAGGATACTCTACCCAGCAAAACTATCATTCAACATAGATGGAGCGATAAAAATCTTCCACAATAAACAGGAACTAAAACAATATATGCAAATCCCAAAACAAATAGAAGGAGAGAAATAATAAAAATAAGAGCTGAAATCAACGAAATAGAAACCAAAAAAACCATACAAAGAATTAATGAAACAAAAAGTTGGTTCTTTGAAAAAATAAACAAGATCGATAGACCCCTGGCAAACCTGACTAAAATGAGGAGAGAAAAAACCCAAATTAGTAGAATTAGGAATGCAAAAGGGGAGATAACAACAAACACCATGGAAGTCCAGGAAATCATCAGAGACTACTTTGAGAACCTATATTCAAATAAATTTGAAAATCTTAAAGAAATGGACAGATTTCTAGATACATATGATCATCCAAAACTGAACCAAGAGGAAATTAATCACCTGAATAGACCTATAACACAAAATGAAATTGAAGCAGCAATCAAGAGTCTCCCCAAAAAGAAAAGTCCAGGACCTGATGGATTCTCTGCTGAATTCTATCAGACCTTTAAAAGAAGAACTGATACCAACCCTCCTTAAACTGTTCCATGAAATAGAAAGGAAGGAAAACTGCCAAACACATTTTATGAAGCCAGTATTACACTTATCCCAAAACCAGGCAAAGACACCTCCAAAAAGGAGAACTATAGGCCAATCTCCTTAATGAACATTGATGCAAAAATCCTCAACAAAATAATGGCAAACCGAATTCACAACACATCAAAAAGATTATTCACACACCAAGTAGGCTTCATCCCAGGGATGCAGGGGTGGTTCAACATACGAAAATCAATAAACATAATAAACCACATTAACAGAAGCAAAGACAAAAACCACTTGATCATCTCAATAGATGCAGAAAAAGCCTTTGATAAGATCCAACACCATTTCATGATAAAAGCTCTAAGAAAACTAGGAATAGAAGGAAAGTTCCTCAACATTATAAAAGCTATATATGACAAACCTACAGCCAGCATTATACTTAATGGAGAAAAACTGAAACCATTCCCTCTAAAATCAGGAACCAGACAAGGATGCCCACTATCTCCACTCCTATTCAACATAGTACTGGAATTCCTAGCCAGAGCAATTAGGCAAGAAGAAGGAATAAAAGGAATACAAATAGGTAAAGAAACTGTCAAAATATCCCTATTTGCAGACGACATGATCCTATACCTTA